CACTATATTTTATTTTTCCATTCCTCCACTGATGGGCATTTAGAATGAATCTATATTTTATTCATCATGAATAATACTGTAATGAACATGGGAATATAGGTATCTGGTCAATATGATGCACTGGTTCCCTTTATATACATGTACCCATTGTAGGACTGATGTGTCATATGGTCACTTAAAATATACTCCATTTTTTTTCTTATTTAGGTCAGGATCTGGATGGTTTTACTATATATATCTGACTGTAGTGTTTCTCCTGTTTTAAGCCTCCCAAGTGCTGGGATTACGGGTACATGCCACCATACCCAGTCTCAATCGCCATCTCAGCATATCCTGCGGGCAGGGCCGGCACGGCACGCTGAGTACTGAACCCCAGCCACTCTGCCTAAGCAAGTGCTTTAGTCTGCTGAGCTATCAGGCTGGCCCTAATCTACTCTATTTTTTTGATGTTTAAAACTTCTAATTTATGTGCCTATCAACAGTACACAGGATTTCCTTTTCACATTTTCTGCAAGACTTGTATCTCTCACCTCTTTTTATAATAACCACTCTTTCAGGTACGGGTTCATATCTCCTTATTCTCTTTTAGTCTGCATCTCCTTTATGATTAGTGATATTGGGCATTTTTCATGTAATTTTGGTCATTTTTGTATCTTTCTGGAGAAATGTATAGTAAGATTCTTTTCCATTTAAAACTTGGTTCTATATTTTATTATTGAGTTGAATTGCTTTCCATTTTGAATATTAATCCCTTTTTAGATGTATGGTTTGCAAATGTGTTCTCCAGTTCCATGCATTTTGACTTCATCATGTTGTTTCCATTGCTATACAAAAGGTATTTGGTTTGATGCAGTCCATCTTTTTTTATTGCCTATGCTTTTGGTTCGAAGTTCAAAATCATTGTCAAATCAAGACAAAAGAGTCTTTCCTATATTTTCTTCCAGTAGTTCTATTGTTGGAAGCCTAATATTTAAATCAGAAACCTATTCTGAGTCAAATTTTATTTCATTGTAAGGTTAGGGGTCCAAGTTCATTCTTTTGCAGATGTTCATCCAGTTTTCCCAGCACCATTATTGAAGGGATGATTCTTTCCCTATTGTGTGTCCTTGGACTCTTGTCAAAATATGTTGACCATTACATATGTTTACTTAATTCTGAGATTTTTACTCTGTTTTATCAGTCTATCTGCATGATAACACTTGTGCCTGTATGTTTTGATTAGTTTTGTAAAATTTTGAAATAAAAAGTATGGCACCACCTACTTCATTCTTTTCACTGCACATATTTTGTTGTTGTATATGAATTCTGGGACTATTTTTTATACTTTGTGGAAAATGTCATTAATTTTTAATATTATCATATAAGTCATACTCTCATTGGCTTGAGATAGGTGTTATATTGAACAGATACATTGTTCCCTTCCTATTCTTAGCTGCCCATTGTACTTAACTACTGAAATTTAAATGATATTTATAGTAATCTTGCTTCTTTTGGTTAGTATTCTGTCATTATGATTGCTATTAGCAAGCTTCATTCTTTTATGACATCTTCCACTCTCAGTCCAGCCTTCAGAAGACAATCATCATGAGCTTCTCAGTGATACTGTTATCTCATCATTGTTTTCTTGATTGCCTTAGTAAATGAAGTGTCTTTTAGATCTTCTCAAATAGTTTATCAAGTAATGGAACTTTTGGTCTTAAGTTGATGACTAATCTAGCACACACCTTTCTATAAGTCTTTTGATAGTTTCTTCTGTAGTTTGTCACAGAAGCTCTGGTATCTCTGTTTGCATAGTTTGGGCTGTTTTTTTTTTTTCCTTTTTCCTTTTTCTTTGGGGAGGAAAATCCAACTCATTCTAAGAGGCCATCATAACCAACAAATATGGTTTTTCTAGGTGTCATGTTGTGTGTCATGGAAGAATATCCCCCAAATTGGAAAACTCTCTTATCTATCTTTTTTAAGATCTTGCCTGGGGCTACTTCTCTTGTTCATATTGGTAAGTATTGGTGAGGTCCTACTCGTTGCTCAATATGTAATTCCTCTCCTTCCTGAGCAGAGCCAGATCTTCTGAGTTGGACCACATTGTGACTAGATTATTTACTTATTTACAGACATCTAATTCATACATAGAATTTCAGTAGTATGTAAGAAAAGTCTGCCTCTCCATGCAGCAGCCACTATTAAGGAACATGCCAATCAAAAGGACAATAAATTATACAAGATCACTCTTGCCTAGTGGACCAGAAAGAATTCTCATGGAGATTACATTGAATCTGTACATTGCTTCATAAAATACAGTCACTTCACCATATTAATTCTTTCAGCCCGTGAACATGAGATATTTTCCCACTTACTCATGTGTTCTTTAATATTCATCAATGTCTACAGCTTTGAATATGCATATATGTCATATATGTTATGATATACATCTAGATATCCCACAAAGCTTATTTCATTCATAAATGGAGCTTTTAGGGGGTAACTGGATCTAGGGTGTGTAATACTGGGATAAAGGGCATGAGACTACTAAATTAGTTCTGGAAGTGGATAATGGAATGCTCACCCTAGGAGTGGATGACGTCACAGAAAAGGCTTATAGCCTGAATAAAATAAAAGGGAAGAGGAGGCACACTGCTACTGCTTGCTGCTTTACTGCCTTCTTTCTACCATGCCATGGACTATTTTTCTTTTGCCATGACCTTCTATCATGACACCCTTCCTTGGAGTCAACCACTGTAAACTGAAACCTCTACAAACCATGAGCTGAAATAAATCCTCCCTCCTTTAACTTGTGAGTACTGAGTATTTTTGTACATTAATTTTTAAAATTTTTCAGATAGTTATTACTGCATAAAACCTCAAGAGATTTTTGCATGTTACTATTTTATCCTGCAATATTACTGAGTTTATACTTTAATTTTAATTTTTGGATAGTTGTGTGTTTTATCCATATAAAGGCATGTCATATGCAAACAGAGGAAATTTTATTTTTCTATTAAAATTTGGATGACTTTACATCTTTCTTTGAAAAGCTTTAGCTAAGACTGACAGTACTATTGAATAGAAATAGTAGGAATTGTCAGGTTTGTCTTGTTCATGATCTTACATGAAATGAAAATCTTTCAGCTTTACATCATTAAATATGAGTGCTGATATATATTCTTTTAACTAATTTGTTGAGAATTATTATAAAATGACCTTGATTGGTCTATTTTCTTTTCAGATTTTCACTGTTGAGAATGATTGCTGTGGTAAATTCCTTCCATACTTAATTTACTGAGAATTTTCATCAGGGAAGTTGTATAGTTTTTGAAGTGTTTCTTTCTGTATCTATTGAGATGATCATATGATTTTAGTGTTGATTCTATTAGTGTGATAGCTCACATTAATTGACTGGCATATATTGAATCATCCTTGCATTCTAGGAAGATAGTCTACTTGCAGCATGTGATCAATCCATCAATTGATTGATTGAGTGATTTTAATGTGTTTGGTACAGGATCTCACTATGCAGCTCAAACTCCTGGTTATCCTCCTGTTTTCAGCCTCTCTAGCACTGGAATTACATGGGGTTTGCCAGCTCAGTGCACCGCGGTGGGCGGGGTTGTTGCAGCATGCAGTATCCCAATGGAACCTCACTCCCTGCACTTGCCTAAGAAAGCACTTAGTCTGCTGAGCCATCTCACTGGCTCAGGCGAATTCAGTTTACTAGTATTTTGTTGAGGATCTTTTCATTCATGATCATCAGAAATATTGCCTCATAATTTTATTTTCTTATAGTATCCTTTCCTGGCAATACTTTTTTAAATATATGTTTTCTTCTTTTCGAATTTTTGAAAATGCTTGACAAGGATTGATAATTCCTTAAATGTTAAATAGTGTTCATTAATAAAACCATTTGGCTTTGGGCTTTTCTTTCTGAGCAGTTTTTTGATTACTGACTCAATCCTTTCACTACATAAGTCTGTTCAAATGTTCTCTTTCTTTCTGATTGTCCTAATAGGTTGTGCGGCGCTAGGAATTTATCTATTATTCTATTTGGTTATTTGATGTGTAAATGTTTATTATAGTCTGTTATAATTTCTTTATTTGTATGGCATTAAGTTATACTGTCTTCTACTTTACATATAATTTTAATCTTTTTATTTCTCTGTTTATCAAGGTACAGGCTTGTCAATTTTATGTTTTTTAACAAGGTTATTAGGTTCACAAATCTTCTATATTTTCAAAATTCTCCTTCACCTATTTCTACTCTAATCTTTATTATTATTTTTCCTTTATTATTATGTTGCCTCTGGGTATAGTTTATTATTCTTTTCCTAGTTCTTCAAGGTGTGAAGTTGAGTTTTTCATAAGAAATTGCTCTCTGCTCAAGGTAGCATTTGTCACTGTGAACATTTGTTTTAGAACTACTCTCTTTGTACATGATGTATTTTAGTACATTGTACTTCCATGTTCATTCCCCAAAATATTTTTGCTTTTGCTTTTGATTATTTTTTGGTTTTCTATTAGATTATTTAATTTCCTTTTTATTTGAATTTTTCCATTTTTTCCTGTTGTTGATTTCTACTTTTATAGTATTGGAATCAAAAAGTTCCTTGGTATAATTTCCATTGCCCTAAATTTGTTAAGAATTATTTAATGGCCTAACATTTTATCTACATTGTCTTATGTCAACTTGATAACATTGTGTATTCTTCTATTGTTATATGGAATATTGCATATGTATCTGTTAAATCTATTTTGCTCAAAGTACAATAAACCTAGTGTTTCCATATTGCTAAGCTGGGTGTTGAAGTCCTTTCCTATGTTATATTTCTCTATTTTCAGTTCTGTTAATACTTGCTTTATATCTGTGGGTAATCTGATGCTGTGCTCATATGGTTTCTATTATTTTATCTTCTTCATGAATTTACTCCTTTATAATTATAAAATGATCATTTTGTATCCTTTGTTTTGTTTTTGTTTTGTTTTGGTGCAGGGTGTTCAGGGTCTCACTACTAGATCAGACTCATAGTGATCCGTCTATTCACAGCCTCCCAAGAGCTGGGATTACAGGCACGGGCCACCATGCCCAGCCTCAATTGCCGTCTCAGTGTGCCCTGGGGGTGGCACCAGCACGGCAGTCTGAGGATCGAACATCTGGTCCCTGTGATCATTTTGTATCTTTAAAGTTTTTTACTTAAAATCTTTTTTATCTATAGTAAGTATAGTTATCCATTCTTTTGTTTACCATTTGTACAGAATTTATTTTCCCATTTCATTGCTTTCAGGCCATAGGTGTACTTAATATTGCGTAGATTTTTTTTATTAATTTTATTGAGAAACAAATAGCAATGAGACAGTTTCAAAACAGGTTAGTAGGAGAGTTACAATAATTGATGTATTTCATATTGTTGCCTTTGTAGTATTTACTCATAGTACAAGATGTAGACATGATATCCTGTCCAAACACTGTTAGTACAAATCTTTCTTTTCATTGAATTAAGAGAATGTAGCTGTATATATATCCTAACTATTTCATATATACAGATACAAAATGGTCCTCCATGAAGTATGTTTCATAGAACCAGGACATTATTACATCTTTTCTTTAATTTACTCAAGCACTCTATCTTTTGATTGAAGAATTCAATGCATTTACATTTAAAAATCATAATTGATATGCAAGGACCCACTATTACTATTTTTTGTTTTCTTTTTTTATAGTTTTTGTATTTTTCCCTCTTTTAAGTGTTTTTCTTTGTGACTTGATGATTCTTGTAATAGTAGTAGTAGTAGTAGTAGTAGTCGTAGTAGTAGTACTATGATTTTATTTGTTCTCCTCAATTATTCATTTTGTTCTTCTGTGTGTCTCCCAGGATTTTTTTTTTGTGACTACTATGTTATGTATTAAATATCTTAGAATTTAACAGGCTATTTTACATTTATGACAAGTTAACTTCAATTACTTCTAAAAATTTTGTACTTTTATTTTCCCCCTCCTCTGTAAGATACTCATTTCACAATTTACATTCTTTTAGATTTTGTATGTAGTAATAAATTATCATTGCTATAGTTGCTTTTAATATTTTTATATTTAATATTTTTGCCCTTTAAATTTAAAGGACTATATTAAATTAAGCAGGATAGTTACAGTATTAGAGTATTTTAAATTTGACTTCTGCTGTTCTTTGATTCATAATGAGATTGTATACATATAAGCCCCCTGTAAGTTGAAAATACTGTAAATTAAAAATGTATATCATGCTTTCAACTTGTGAAATTCTATATCTCAGTGTAGCTTAGCTTAAATAAGCTCAGAACATGTACATTAAACAAAATCATGTATCAAAAATCCTATTGTATGACTAAGTATTGAAAATTTGGTGCAATGTATTAATCTGTAAATTAAAAACAGAATTGTTATATTAGAAGAGGAGACATAGATGAGTGTTTTCATAACATTATTGGAATGAAAATCATAATATCAAAAAAATGACAATGCAGTGTTGTCACTATCATCTATCAGAAGGAAATATGGTGCCACATGCCCCTAACCTTGCAAAGATGAAAATTCAAAATCAAAAGTGTGTACAGAATACATACCATTTTTGTACTATTATAAAGTGTAAAAAATGTAGGTTAAATTTATATAAGTTGGGGAACATATATAAACTTATCATATCAGCAAATTCATTTTCTTATGCTTTCATGTTAGTAACTTCCATCTTTTTGCTTTTAACCTTAAAGAGCACCTTTTAGAATTATTTATAAAGAAGGTCTGCATTGATGAAATGCCTCTCTTTTAGTGGTGGAGTTGACCTGGTGAACTACTTATTTTCAGTGGACCTATTTGTTGGCTTTAGTATTCTTACTTACCATTTTTTTTATTCCCATGTTCATTTTGCCTACATCATTCCTGCAAAAACGCTACAAAAAAGGCACTAATGGCCTAATGCACTTGGGATGATGAATTACAACTTTTTCTCTTGCTACACTTAAAATTCTTTCTTTAAATCTTTAAAATATTTTTTAAAGAAAATACGAAGAGTAATAAAAGTAAAAACTTAAAAATGATACAGAATTACACTAAACAAAATAATATAAATTCAACAGTATGTATTGTGTGATATAGCATTGTCCTCAAATTAGTTGTTCAGATTGCTAGATATATGCAGAAAAAATTGGAAAAAGAAAGGAAAAAAAAGTTATAAGAAATTAAGAAGAAAGACAATACAAAATAAAAGAAGGAAAAAACAAAAAATTAAGTACTAACTGCTCCTTTCCACAGACCAGCAGAAATATACAGTACAGTTATCCACACCACCTTGCTTACATACATAGAAATATCTCTTTGTCCCACACCTTCTCCTGTCCTTCTCCTTGGGTCAGTATTTCATTCTTTTTGAACAGGTTTGTTTCCTTTTCATAGTATCTGTTTTTCCCTTCAAAATGTATTTACTCTTTCAGGTTCTTACACTAGGGAGACAACATAATGTTTGCATATGCAGGTCTGATTTATTTCATTTACCACTACAGTCTCTAGTTGCATCCATTTATTTATAGAAGTCTCAAATTTATCCTTTTTTAGCTGAATAATATTTCATTGTTTAAAAATACCACATCATCTTTATCCAATCCTCAGTGGAAATTTTGTGTACCTCCAAGATTTAGCTATGATAAATGTTTCTGCTATAAACACGGGTGCACACAGATCACTGCAGTATGTTTTCAGTTCTTTCCAGGAGGGGAATACCTGGCTTGAATGGAGCCTCCAATGCTAGCTTGTTGAGGAATCTCCACATTGACTGTCATTATAGTTGTAATATTTTGCACTCTTACCAACAGTGGAGAGGAGTTCTTTTGCCCCACAGCCTCACCGGCATTTGTTATTGGCTGACTTCTTGATAATAGCCATTCTTTCTAGGGTGAGATGGAATCTCAGTGCTATTTTAATTTGAATTACTGAAATGACCAATGATGTTAAAACATTTTATCATATATTTATCTGCCATTTTTATTTGTTCATCTGAGAAGTATATATTCGACTCATAAAAATGAGATCCCAGTTGTTGAATCTTTGAAGTATTTCCCATGCAATATGGTTTTTGTTCATAAACTACCCCAATGTCTTTAAGATTTCTACATACATTTTGCTCCAGGAGATTTAGTGTTTTTATTTTAATATTTAAATCTTTCATCCATTTTGACTGTAGTTTAGTGCATGGTGATAGATGTGGGTCTAATTTTAGCATTCAGAAAGACAGTTTTTGCAGCACCATATATTAAATAAGCTTTCTTCTAGTGAATATGTTTAGGCCCTTTGTCAAAAATAAGGTAGCTGAGTGTGGTTGTAGTGGGTCTACATCTTCTAATCAGTGCCATTGATCTTCAGGTCTGTTTCTATACCAGTACTATGCTAATTTTTTCACAGTTGCTTTATACTATAACTTCAAGTCAGGCTTTGTGATGCTTCCTGCCTTTCCTTTGCTGCCCAAGATTGATTTTGATATTCTGGGTCTCTTCTGGTTCAAGATGAATTTTAGTAATGTTTTTTCTAGATCTGTGAGGTATAATAATGGTATTTTAATCAGGATTGTATTGAATTTGTATAGCAATTTGACTGTATAGCTATTTTCGCAATGTTTGTTTTTCCTATCCAGGAGCAAGGAGTATCTTTCCATTTTCTAAAATCCTCTTTGATCTCTTTTTTCAGAGTACTATAATTTTCACTGTATAAATCTTTTACTTCTTTTGTTTGATTCCTAGGTAGTTCATTTTTTGTATCTGATTGTGAATGGTGTGGTTTTCCTAATTTCTCTCCCAGTTCATTCATTGTTTCTGTACAAAAATGCTATTGATTTTTGAGTGTTGACTTTTTGTCCTGTTATGCTACTGAATTTGGTATTAAATCTATAAGTTTCTTGGTGCAGTTTTCAGGGTCTTCTATGTAGCATATCATGTCCTCCTCAAATAATGTTAATTTCACTTCTTCCTTCCAAATCATTATTCCTCTTAGTTCTCTCTTTTGTCTAATTGCTCTGGCTAATATTTCCAGAACTATATTGAATAGGAGGTTTTGTTTTGTTTTGTTTTTTCATTTTATGTATTTGGTACAGGGTCTCACTACACAGCTGAGACTCGTGGTGATCCTCCTGTTTTTCACCTCCCAAGTTATAGCATATCAGGTATTCCCAACCATGCCCCTACTTGGTAGGCTCAGCACACCCTGGGACAGGGTTGGCATGACATGCAGGGCTGGAGATCAAACCCTTGTCTCTGCTCTTGCCTGAACAGGCTCTTAGTCCACTGAACTATCTTGCCAGCCCTGAACAGGACTTTTGATAATAAACATTTTTGTCCTATTCCTGATTTTAAAGTTAAGGTTTTCAGTTTTTGTCTATTTGGTATGATTTGGGTTGTTGGTTGGTCATAGATAACTTTTATGAGGTTGAGATATGAACCATCTATGCAGATGTTCTGTGGGAGCTCTATCATGAAAGAGTTTATGAAAAAAAGCTTTTTTGCATCTATTGAGATGATCATGTAGCTTTTGTCTTTCGCTTTATTGATATGGTGTATTGTAAGCATTGATTTGTGTATGTTGAGCCATCCCTTCATTCCTCCCATGAATCCCACTTGATTGTTATGTATAACCTTCCTGATGTATTCTATTTGCTAGTATATTATTGAGGATTTTTGCATGTATGTTCATGAGAGAGATTGATCTGTACTTGTCCTTTTCAGTTTGATCTTTCTTTGGTTTTGTTATCAGAATAATGCTTGCTTGCAAAAATCAGTTTGGGAGAATTTCTTCCCTTTCAATTTCATTGAAGATTTTGAGAAAAGTTACCATTAAATTTCCTCTAAATTTCTTGTAGAATTCAGGACCTGGGATTTTCTTTGTTGGTAGGATTTTGATTACATTTTCAATATCATTTCATGCTATTAGGTTCTGAAGTTATTAGGTTATGGGGTTATTAGATTATGAATTTATATTTTCTTTGCTCAGCTTTGACCATTCATATGTATCTAGAAAACTATCTATTTTCTCTCTGTTTTCCATCTTATGAGAGTAAATATTTTGGAAGTAGGTGTTGATGATCTTCTGAATTTCTATAGGGTCTGTAGTGATTTTTTTCCCTTTTCATTTATTTCATGAATTTGAGTAAATTTCTTTTTCCATGGTTTTTGCTATTTTTTTATTTTTTATTTTTATTGATTGATTGACTGTACTTGTATTTGTATTGATTGATTGAACTCAGGACCTTGCACTTGGTAGGCAAGCACTTATTCCTCTGAGCTATCTCACCAGCCCCAGATAAATTTTTATAAAATGTTTTAAGTGTAATATATATACTTTGTGTTGAACATATTTAAGATTTGTTGAACTTTATGAACCTGGATATACATACTCTTTCAAACATATGGGAGATTTTAGCTATTATTTTTAATAATGTTTATTTAAATTTCATTTTCTTTAATATTTTTTTCCATTCTTATTTTTTCATTTATTTCTCTGACAGGCCAATTTCAAATACTCTTTCTTTGAATTCACACATTTTTTTTCTAGCTTCATCAAGTCTGTTGAAGTGTTGCATTTCAAATTGTATCCATTGTTTGTTTCAA